GATGGGCATGCTCGGCATGAGCCCGATGATGCCCGGCGGGGGGGTGCAGAACTCAATGAGTCCGCAGATGCACGCACAGCCGACGATGGTCCGTGCTTCGTTTTTCATAGGTGCTGTTATTGAATATTCTTCTGCAGATGCAGTATCGACAGCACAACCTGCAACACCAGCAACAGCAGGGGCACCCCGGGAATCGCATGAGCATGAGCGGACCAATGAATGCGGGCTCGCCAGGGTCGGACCCGTCATTCAACCCGAACGGTGTGATCCAGGCTGGTGTGGGTGGGCCGGGACAGCAGCAACAGTTTGGAGGACCAGGAAATCGACTTTCGGGGCCGCAGAACCCGAAAGCACCGATGGGGATGCTGCCACCGCCGTCGCCCGCGAAGGATCAGAACAAGGATAACAAGGGGCCGAACGGGCTTGTGGACGGCTCGCCGCGGAACCAGCCGCTATCGAATCCCAATGCGCCCGGCACGGCGCCACCAACGCCAAACTCGTCCGGACAACAGCAGCAGCAACAACAGCAGGGCGGCCAGCAGCAACAGCAGAACCAGGGCCAGCAGCAGCAGAACACGCCAGCTGCGCAGACCCTGATGATGAACCCGAACGTGAACCCCGGCGCGATGAACAATGTTGCTCTACCGCTACCGCCTGCGCCGAGCGCGACGGATAATCTGTTCAGCAGCGAATTCATCCAGAGCGTGGCGAATGGGCTGGATGAGTTTGTGGATGTGGGCCTTTTCCGCGGGGATGGCGACCTGAACTTTGAGCGGGACTTTGGGCAGTGGTTCAACCCGGACGATGTTGGGATGGAGCTGGGCAAGCAATGAGCTGGGTTGGTTGGTGAGCTCGCTGCTGCGGCGGTGGAGGGATGCGCCGCGCGGATGGACGGATGGAACGAACAAGCGCGCGAAACGAACGTTGGAATCGGATTCATTTCTCGGTGGCCTCTTGTCTCAATCTGCCCCTGCCTTGTCGCCCAATGCTTGCATCTCGTCGGGGAATATTTATTTACTGGCAAAAGCCTGTGTCGCTGCGCAGCGCCCACACCCTCTGTTTTTCCTCTGTCGCGATACACTAGATTACTCACCTATTTTTCCCCTCCGATGTTGTGTTTCCTATGCTGCTTGGTTGCTTTCGCTTTTCCCCCCCGTTACCCGCCGCTCTCGGTTGTTAATTACTAGTAGTTTTGTTGCATGTACTTTTTTTGAATCACAGCTGGATGGAATCGCAACTTCGTTGGAGGTCAGAAACGTACAAGAGAAGAAGAGCAAAAAGAAAGAAAAAACGAAAAGGAAGAAAGCAAAAGGTTTGTGACTAGCTCGCCTCACGGCGCGTCTGACGACCAGCCCTTGTCTCCGAAGACTAACTCGGCAAGTCCTGCAGGTTGCACAATTACTTGCCTGGCCTGACAAGGACGGATTATTCCAAATCCGAGCCACTTCCTCCGAAGCGGGGAATTGTGGAAACCAAGTTTTCTGGAGGGGACGGTCTTGAACCAGCGCACGCATGAGTGATGCCGATGAAATTGACCAATCACATTCCCGGTTTAGGGCCATTACAGCCACAATACCATTGTACCATGATGCTTCGCACAATTTGATGCGATACATACATGCTCTCTCTCTACGCCTTGCTTATCTCCATCTCCGTCTCCTTCCTCGGACGAAGGTCGATAAGTGAACAAGCCTGACTACTGGTAAAGTATCGGGCGCCGCCTATCCGCACTTGTGGCTGCGAGACCCTCGGTCGTCCTCAAATGACACCACGCTGTGCCCACGCACCTCGGAAATCGGTCCTTCGATCGTGGATCTCCAGATGTGTGGGCCATGGTTCGCGGAGTGTCGTGGATATTCATCTCCAACGTGCCGACGACGTGGGTGCAGACTGCGCCACAAGGAGTTGGACTTGACTTGAGGGCGAACAAGAATTAAGATACGTCCACGGTCCCCCCGGGCCATTAAATATGAAATTGACAAATTCACTCCTCGCAGCTCTCTATCCATGCCTCCCAGGATTCGGCAAATGCGTTGTTTTCCACGGCGTGAGCTACGCTATCCGGACAAGACAATCGCAATGCAGAATGAGAACACAGAACGCTCGAGGAATCGATGTTTAAACGTTTGCGTGTTTCATCTGCTTCCGTGTCTTGCTTATCTTGTGCTGCAACAATATGCACTCCAACAACGAGGATATAGTGGAAGAACTGTTCGTTTCTCGAGAAAAATCGACTTGGAAATGTATAACATATATTCGGACGCTGACTCAAAGCTCAAAATCGTTCTGGGTAACACAAGTTCCCTCCACTCGCTAGTCGTCTCAGTTTGCCATGCACGGAAGTCCTCGTCTTATATCCGAGGTTTTTTTGCGATCGACCTATTGGGACGGGCGGGTTGCATAACATGTTACACCCACTTTGACGGACTTCCTTTCCGCCAACAGGCCTTCCGCACGTCCCTGTTGAGGAAGATGTGGGTATGCAACGGGTTCTTCGTCCCCAGGCCGCCCGATTTTCTTCACATGATCTAGTTCGCCGTTTTTTGTTTTGACAGTCTTACTCTTAGACAGACTCTGACGCATCTGTCGGTTTATCAACACATGTGGCGCCGATGGACATTTTTCTGCCCCAAACGACTTTGTTATTGTTCAAGTTTGGAACTTGATTTCGTCGTGCCGCCAATGAAAACTCCCACAATCGACGGTTCCGTCTTTCAACTTGGCCGACTCGGGACCTCTGCGCTCCGAGACATCCGGTGGTCGCCGTATCGAGCTACGAACTGAGGTCGCACTTGTGCTGCTTCAATATACTGTGCGGTATTGGATATCGTCTGACTGCGGCATCTGTGGAATGCATGGGAGTGCCAAGCGTACGAGAAATACACCCCACAATTGCCCACAAGTCGTATTTCATCATCGAATTCCCAACCTTTGGCTTCTGTATATGTGGTATGGGGGTTTGAGGGAGTACTCGTCACCTCACCTCATTCCACACAACTCATAAATCATACTGGAATATTAATGAAGGCCTTGTCTTTCATTTCACTGTCACTCAAAGCAGCGCTGGTTGTCGGCCAAGCACCTATTATTGTGCCCAAATTTCTCGAGGATGCATTGTACTCTGACTCAATTTTAGCGGGAGGACAAACGCGCGTTCGCAGTCCTGGATCCTCACGGCCCTTTCCGCAATGGATCCCAGCACTTTGAGCCTACCGCCAATCTCCACCTGACCCCTCCATATTTTCAGATTTACGACGAAAGGTTTACTGAAATTCTGGGCTCAAATCCCACTATTCGTGTCATTGTGGAAAACGACACATTCGCATTCGCTCATGATGCGCCGATGTGGGTCAAAGAAACAAACGAAGTTTTCTTCACTGGAGGGAGGACTGTGGGGCGTCCGGTCATTGTTCCCGATCTATGCAATGGTGCTGCGATTTTGAACAACTACCCAGGTTTCGGTGATAAACTTGAACGATCTCCAAACGAGTCCGACAGGATTGATCAACTTTACCATCGTATGTAAGATGACTCTCCGGCCGAATTCTTGATTCACATTTGCAGGTCCCACTCAGCGACGACGTGCAAATAAACAATGGTGGAACGCTGTTCCGGGGCGACTTGTTACTCGTCACTACGGGATCTGGTTCCGTCCCTCCGAGCTTGATCAGAGTGAACCCCAAACCGCCGTTCAACGATACTATCATTCTGAACAACTTCTACGGCCGCCAATTTAACTCTCTCAACGACGCAAAGGTACATCCGCAGAGCCGTGCTATATTCTTTACGGACGAGACGTATGTGTATCGCCAGTTTCGAGTTTCTACTTGGCTGATTCATTTACACTTACTGTTCACTTAGCTACGGGTTCGAGAACGGTGTCAGACCCGCACCTTTGATTCCGAATCAGGTCTACCGCTTCGATGCAGACTCGGGCGAGGTGCGCGTCGTTGCGGACGGATTCCAGCAACCGAACGGAATCGCGTTTTCGCCCGATGGCAACACGGCATATATGTATGTTTTGTGTATGCAATTATAACACCTCGACCTCACTTATCTACAGTGCGGACTCTGGGGCAACTCAAGGCGTCAGTGGAGGCATCCAACCGACTCTTCCGGCAACGATGTGAGTGCAACGAAATGACGGGAAGTAACAGTGGTTGTATTTCTGAATCGTTCACATCAGATATGCCTTCGACATCATGCCAGACACCCAGGCCTTCATTAACCGTCGGGTGTTTTCATTCATCGACACGGGCGTTCCCGACGGTCTGACGCTCGATACAAATGGGAATTTGTATGTCGGGTGTGGAGATGGCACTGAGGTAGGTACTTATTTTTGTGCACGAACGGCTAAAAAAAAAATCATATGGCGTAGGTGTTCGACCCCAAAGGCACTCTGCTAGGCAAGGTCTTCCTCGGAGTAAGCTCGTCGAACATGATATTTACTGGCCCGAAAAGACTGGTTATCCTGGCTGATACCAAGGTTTATATGGCGGAGATTGCAGCTGAAGGAATCAACCTAGATCTGTGAAGAATGAGCACTGTAGTGTATGACTATGATCTACCAGATTCAACATATTTTAAATATTGTAGAGTCATCTGAGCTGGTCAAAGGCCTATTTTTTGTGTGCTAGTAGTCCCGCGATGTAGTTGAACTTGATTGTCTCCAAAAGGAAGGTGGTTGAAATTTCGCCAAACACACTTCATACAAATCGTAGCGGAACCGCTGCGTGAACTTCATCTTGCAAGCTGAAGCCACGACTCTCTGGGAAATATCGTACTTCTATGCTGGGCTTGTGTTCGGGAATCGAACGATATGTGAGTCGGCGGGAAAATGGAAGAAGAGTCAGTGCCATGATTTCGCGTATCATTCCCTATGCAAGAAGAAATATAGGCAGGAGAAGGTGAAAAATATGGCATCAACATGGATCAAACACGCGACTCCAAGCAAGTGAACCAAACCTAAAAAAGAGTGGAAAGGTTCAAGAAAGCAAAAATGGCAGCACCGCGGATCGAACGCGGGACCTTCAGATGACTGTACACACGACAGTTGTACACTTCAGTCTGCTGCTCTCCCAGCTGAGCTATGACGCCTTGCTATATGTCCAGAAGTTGGATTCCACAAGGGGCCCGATTCCTGTTTGTTTTCAAAAACTTTGTGATGTCCTTTGAATGTCCTCGTCTCTTTCACTGACTTCCCACTCGTACAATGTTATCCCGAGTCTTATCCACGTTCTGAAGAAAAACAATACCCCAAAGTCACGACAATATGTTGTAACATCGGACTTACACCAAAAGTCGTCTGACGGACTCATTGCAGGCTCGAGGCATCGAAGAACCCATTTAAAGCCAAGATCGCAAAAGGCAACAGTGATTTGTTGAACGCAGTGATTCCATAGAACTACCATAATACGTCTCATCTTGTCTGCGGCCGAAATACGGTTGGATGGATAATAGCCATATTCGGATGCAGGCGGAACGGGTGTTTTGTTGTATTTGTTCGCTACCCACATCCGTACTTGATCGGCCACCCAAATCCCGGAACAGCGAAAACAAAAGAGACATGCCAACCGCGGACGAAGTGAAGCAGCTGGAGGGAGTCTCTGCCGCACAGCATCGCTTTCGCCTTGCTGTCAATGCACCCGACGCCGCCATGGACAATAACGGCTCAACCAGCGCCTCATTGGTCCCAACTCCTCCTCGTCCGCCCACCGATCAAGGCAACAACACACCGTTCCTGGTATGTTGTCTGTGTAGCGGGTGCTTTGACTGACTTCCAATAGTATGGCCAGCTGCCCTTCCGAAATTCACGATACAAGGAAAAGTAGGTCCCTCGCAATTTAGACGCTCGTATGGTTGTTGCTAGCGACGGGCATTTATTGTCACTCAGATTTCAGGCGCTTCGGGAAAAATATGACCGCGTCATTACAGTGCGTAGTACACGGGTAATTATGCGAAAGTCTCACCTGCGTGTGGTAGAAACAACAAGAGTACCAGCAGGACCTCGAGATTGCTACCGCGAAGATCAAGAAACTGCAAGCAGAGAACGAGTACGTCTTTTCATTTTTGGAGATTTTACTTCTGCGTGCACCGACCAACGAACGTGGATCCCACCTAGTCTGTTACTCGACGCGATGAACCTCGCCGCAACGCACCAACCGTCAATGTTCGGACTCCTACCGCCCTCACACCCACCGTCCGACATGCCCCTGAGCGGTGGTCCCACGGACCTTGACGCGTTCGCGGGCCCGAGCACCAGCGCGGCGCCCCTGCTCGCCGAGCGCCCGCCACCCCGCCACATCAACGGGAACGGGAGCAGCAATGGTACAGGCAGCAGCAACAGCAGCAGCGCGCTTGGCCCCCAAACAAACGGCCACGAGGTACGTTTGCGCGCCTCAACCCGCAAATGTATTGAATCTTAAAACAACTCTCCAGCTACGCGAATCGCACCCGCACGCGTCGCGGCAGCCTTCAATCGAGTTTATCCCGCACGACACGAACGGACGCGCACCATGACCCACAAGTGATCCTCTCCTTGTTTTCTTGCATATGTAATTTATGTTCCTCCTCCATATTTACTTAATCGCATCGCATTTGTATTCCGCGCCTCACTCATGTACTCCATTGCCGTAATTACTCCCCGCCACACGGCCTCTCACGCACTCTCGTATCTTTACATTCCGTGTCTCTCGTCCTCCCAAATTCGTCTCGTCGTTTTGTCTAACCGATCCCGTCTTACCGTCACTCGTCGCATCTGACCTAAACTGGTTTCTCACTGCGCAAATTCGATTTCGTTTGGTTTGATTCTCCGAGGACGACACAGTGGTAGTACATTGATAGATCTAAGGCTTTATCTCCGTCCTTCCCGCGCGCGCGGCAAAAAACCCAAAACGTAGAAAACAAGGGCCACGCGCACCATGTAGGTATAGACGACCGACGTCATGTAAGTAGGTGGAAGGGGGCGCGGAGCAGGTGGGTTAGATGGGTGGGTTGGATGGCAGATGGTGTGAATGCAGTGGTGTACAGGATGTCAGCAGCTGGAATGTGTGTGTAAAAACGTAAAGGAGGAATAAAAACGAGAGCAAAAGGAGGATAGAGCACAACAAACAGAATAGCTCGAGTGAAAGGAACGGCGCGCAAAGGAGGGACTGGGTTTTTTATCGTGAGTTATGTGTCGCCAAGTCATCTATGTAGAGAGGTTCGTAATGGGAAAAGTGGAACGGATAGAGCACAACACGGGCCAGGCGGGCGAGATGTCCAAGATATACACGCAGCAGGGAGATACACACAGACAGACTCTGAGATAGATCAGAAAGGTCAAGGGCTGGGCTACACGCCCATTTTTGTTGTGCCGTCAGCGGCTTGGCGCATTGCTCGGCACCGACGCGAGTCCAAGGCCGCCACTACCGGGACCCGGGATGCTGCGCGCCATGTTCCCAATATTCGGGATCCCACTGCCGCGCGGGCCGTGCCCAATGTGCGCGAGACCGCTCCCGCTGCGCGGCCGCCCGCCCTGGCCACTAGCACCTGGACCCCACGGACCAAGCCCCCCGCCACCTGCACCCGCGCCGCCGGGCTGCATCGCATACCCCAGCGGTGCGCTGTCACTCCGGGCACGACTCGTGCGCGGCTTCGGCGGCGATAGCGAGTCAACGGACGCCGCATGGTGCGGGTGCGGGCTGCCGTTCGGGTGTGCCGAGTGCGGCGAGTGCGCGTCGTCACCCGACATCATGCGCTGCCGCTTCGAGCTGCCGCGGCCCTGCTCTGGCTCGTCGAACATCTCCATGGTAATGGAGCCTGGCGACGCGGGCAGGGGTGATTGCGAGGTCTCCCCGCGCGAGAAGGACATGTGTTGGAAGCTCTGCTGGCGCGAGAGCGAATGCGAGTGCGCATGCGCGTGAGGGTGGTGCGCTGGCACCTGGTGGGCTTGGTGGGTTTGGTGTTGGCCAAATTCGGACCCAGGCGGCGTAGGGTCGTACCCGCGCGCAGAGGTCACGAAAATCGGAGGGTCCAGAAGGTCGACGGGGAACGGCGGGACTACGCGGGTACGTTAGGGGGCCGAATAAGGAAAAATAAGGCCAGACTAACCGCTGCCTGGTCCAAAGCCCTTGCCGACGAGGTCCCAGAGGCGACTGACGACCGAGACAAGTTTTTCGACGCGGCGGCGCTCTGCATTGAGCTGCTCCCACATGCGCTGGTTCTCCTCGCGCATTGCGCCGAGCTGAGCCGCGACCTGAACGCAGTTTAAAAAATGAGACTCGCGGCGAGCGAGTGACAAACCTCGCCGGGGAGTTCGACGCGGTGCTTAAGCGCGGGATCGGGTTCAAGGGCCTTCCGCTTGATCTCGTCGAGGAGATCGGGGCGGCCCCGGAGGAACTTGTGATGGGAGAACTCCCAAGTCTGAGCATCAGACGTTGTGCGCTGTGCGCGTGGCGTGCGATTGATCTTGTGGAAGCCATACATGTTGAGTTGTCGCACAAAACTGGAGAACTGCATGGAAAGCATAAGCTGGGGCCGAAGCGACGCGCCATGTCATGTCACGGAGAAAAACAAGCCGCATGACACGGCGCGTGGATCGCAGCGGGAAAAGTACGTACATTGTTGTGCTTGAAATGGCTTCCAAGGATGCTGCGGCTGAATTCGCCGACATTGCTGACGACAAAGGAGGTGCCGAGATCAGTCCAGGAGATGAAGTGAGAGGACTTTGCGTCGGTGATCATCTGGTAGAGCTTCGTGACAAAATTGTTTGTAGCCATGGGTTTGCCTAGAACACCCATAGTGGGAACCAGAGTAGGGACCGCGATCTTTGCATCGTCGCCGCTGCCAGAGCTTCCCTCGACGGGAGAGCTGCTTGCGTCGTAGGACACGATGCCCATGTCCATATCGTCGTAGCCGGCGCTGGTGGGGTTCGCACTTGCCGGAGAGCCAGGACGGGGCGACAGAGTGCCGCTGTCAGTTGTAATGCGCAGAGATGGGGTGGTGATCGGGGTGTGCGACCGCGACCCAGTCGGATTCGGGGGCGGATCGGATGAAAAACTGCGTTTTCTAGGCAAAGTGGAGGTCGTTGAACGCGGCGACGCGGGGACATTTACGCTGACAGAGTCGTAGGAGGAATCGTGGTCGTACGAGTCCTGCGAATCGTTCGCTGGACCTCCTCCGCCTTGGCCAAACTGAAAAGGGTGAAGATGGCTACCGTATGCAGCTGGACTGATAGGTGTGACGGGACTGAGAGCACCAGAAGGAGGACCGATGGGGGAGAGATTTGTGGGAGAAGCGACAGAGAGAGACGCGATATTGAGGGAAAGGGACGAGGAGGAGCGGTGGACCTGGGGAGCCTGCTGGAAACCAAACTGAGGGTATTGCTGCTGTTGGTGCGGCGGCCAGCGACCGTTGTAGTGGTTTTGCCCCTCGTAGTCCATGCCAGCTAGTAGACGGACTCTAATCTAATCACTCAGTAATATCTGCTTCCGCTGATTTTTCCCACGTATACAGGTTCCAATTTACCAACAATCTCGCAGCAATCTACAACTAATTCAAGCCACATTGCCCTCTCATTGCATTCAGTTCCCTCAAACACAATAAAAGACAAAGACGACGCCGGCGCAGTCTATGCGCCGCAATCCACCGTACCTATCGGGTCACCGTGTTGTGGCAGTGTAACCTGTGCCTTGAGCGCCCACACAGACGCCCACCTCCCACGTCACGGTGTTCCTTTCTGGGTCCGGCGGGCGTCGTCTGTGTACCAACTGTGATCTGAATATCGCCGGTCTTTTATCTTGGCCAAAGGAAAAATTAGTCGCAAAGGATCGGTCAATAAACGATTCCGACGATCTGAGCAACCAAAGAGTCGGAGCGAGCTGCGGCGCCCTCAACTTGCCAAAATCATGCATCTGGAAATCCTTGCGCAACCTTTAATCAAGTCGCGGACTTTCTGAAACGTTTCGCTATCCAACAAGCTCTCACTATGTATGTTTTCGGAGCGAGCCGCGCGCCCTCAACTTATCAAAATCATGCATCTGGAAATCCTTGCGCAACCTTTAATCAAGTCGCGGACTTTCTGAAACGTTTCGCTATCCAACAAGCTCTCACTATGT